TTTGGTCCAATCTTTATGAAACTTGACAGTAATGTGACCTGTCATGTGTAGATGTGCCATCCAACTTTGGAATTTTCAAAATGGGTGCCGTTACCATGGAAACTGCAAAAATGTCATAAAATTCAAAATGCTTCAAACTTAATGAAACTTTACACACATGTTGACTGTCTTATGTAGATGTGGCATTTGACTTTGGAATTCCCAAAATGGCCACCGTAACCATGGAAACATGAATAGATATAAGAAGATGTGGTATGAGTGCCAATGAGACAACTCTCCATCCAAGTAAAAATTTATAAAAGTAAACCATTATAGGTCACAGTACGGTCTTCAACACGGAGCCTTGGCTCACACCGAACTGTAAGCTATAAAGGGCCCCAAAAAATTACTAGTGTAAAACCATTCAAACGGGAAAACCAACGGTCTAATCTATATAAAAAACGAGAAACGAGAAACACTTATGAACCACATCAACAAACGACAACTACTGAACATCAGATTCCTGACTTAGGACAGGTGCAAACAAATGCAGCGGGTTTAAACGTTTTAATGGTACCAAACCTTCACCCTTTTTCTGAAACAATAGTGTAACATCACAACATAGAATGCCTTAATTTGAAAATTGGTCCAATTTTTATGAAACTTGTAAGTAATGTGACCTGTCACGTGTAGATGTGATATCCGACTTTGAAATTTCAAAATGGCTGCCATTACCATGGAAACAGCATAACAATGGTTGGGGGCCATTTTGGCGACTTTTGTGTTAGCATCCTAACACAGGATTACTTGTTAAGTCGCCAAAACGGAGTTTTGGGGACTTTATGTTTTTGTCCCGTTATCTATTATGTCACCCGATCGACAATGTCAGGTGACATATTGCTTTTCCTCTGTTTCTTTTTCTGTATTATTATTATTATTATTATTATACTTCCACCTAATTTTGTCCGGGAGTTTTTCTCAGAGCCAATGGAACCAATCTAAATGCTTGTTCTCTATAACAAGGAACACCAACTTTTGCATTGCAGTGGAACTTTGGCACTAAAAAATGGCTGCCGTTACCATGGAAACCGAAAGATAGTGAAAAAATAAAATTTTAGAGTTTGGTGAATTATTTGAGAATGCATAAACTTAAAATCATTAGATTTTAATACAATGTAGGTGTCCACTATATACTGGTTTTGGATGATTTTGGCAAACATCCGAACTACTATGTTGCCATGGAAACTACACCAAATTTTCAAAAATATCAAAATGCTCCAAAATTAATGAAACTTCACAGTAACGATGAGCAACATTGGTAGATGTGGAATTCGGCTTTGGAATTTCCAAAATGTCTGCCGTTACCATGGAAACAATGCAAAAATGGTCAAAATGCTACAAAAACCTTAAAATAGCATTTACTTTCTTAAAATGGTAGGTCAAATCCCATGAAACTTTGATGGTATGTTCCCTCCCATGTACCAATGTGGCATCTGTCATTAAATTTTGGGAATGGTCTCTGTTACCATAGGAAGCAGCAAAAATGTCAAAAGTGTTCCAAACTGGAAGAAACTCCACAGGAATGGTAACTGGCATGTGCTGATTTGCAGTTTGACTTTGGAATTTTCAAAATGGCTGCCGTTACCATGGAAACAGCTAAAATATCAAAAATTCTAACTCTTTCTTTATAAGAACCAACTGGATGAAACTTTATGAAAATGTTACCCAGTATGCTAAGATGTCAAGACAATATTTGGATAGTCCAAAATGGCCACCGTTGTCATGGAAACTGGGGGCAAGTTTAACATTGACCCTATGTGAAAATGCATATAATCAGCATTTTCTTAAGGAGTATTCCACCAAAGTCAATGAAATTGTATTGATATATAACATGACATGAGGCAATGAGATGTCTGCTTTTAGAATTTTGGAATTATCCACTGTAACCATGGAAACAGCAAAAATGTCCAAAATTTCCAAAAAAATGAAAATGATGCAAACTGGGTGAAACTTTAGAGAAATAGTAACTGGCATGGGCAGAGTTGCATTTTGAAGTTGGAATTTTCAAAATGGCCACTGTTACCATGGAAACAGCAAAAATGTCCAAAATTTCAAAATGCTCCAAACTTAATGAAACTTTACAAAAATGATAATTTGCATGAGTAGATGCACTCTTTGACTTTGGAATTTTCTAAATGGCTGCTGCTCGCCTGGCAATGGGGGAAGGGTGCCATCCGTTATTGCTAGCAATTACAAATCTAGTTATTATTATTATTCTTCTTAACCCTAATTTGTCAGACCATTTTCTTCCAAGCCTTAAATGATGGAAACTTTATATTTGGTATGATGTTGGGGTAGTATCTCTAGGGGTGCATTCACTATTTTTTATTTCAAATGGGGGTCAACTTGGCACTATTTGGGGGCCGGAACATGGGTGGGGTCATTTTTCGACTATTGATTCGCTACTGGTAGAACCTTTAAGTTTTGTGGAATACAAGAGACCGATGTCCAGGTGTCCATTCCACATTTTTTATTTCAGCCCGGGGTCATCTTGGCATTATTTTAGGGGGTCAATTTTCATGGAACATTCTAGAACAATAGTCATGTGATCAGTCATGTGATAGTGTTGAATTATTCCTATGTACTTTTTATGTTATATAATGATAGATTATTACAGGTAGCACCATATATAGCTGTATTTCGACTTTGGAATTTTTAAAATGGCCACTGTTGCCATGGAAACAACAAAAATGCGAAAAATCTAGATTTGGTTCAATCTTTATGAAACTTGACAGTAATGTGACCTGTCACGTGTAGATGTGATATCCGACTTTGAAATTTCAAAATGGCTCCCTTGGCTTACCATGGAAACAGCAGAACAATGGTTGGGGGCCGTTTTGGCGACTTTTGTGTAAGCATCCTAACACAGGATTACTTGTTATTATTATTATTATTCTTCTTCTTCTTCTTCTTCCTTCGCTTTTAAATTTGAACTTGTCTGCACCCGTTCTCCAAAACCGCTTGTCAGATTAACTTAGGGTTTCACAATATGTTAGACTAACATGTCTAGTGGTGCAATCAGGGTTTTGTTTGTGGAATGGGGTTTATAAAGGGGTACTATGAGGGGCAAAAAGAAAAGAGGGTTTTACTATAGAACCCTATGGGATTTTATTTTTTTAAATTTTCAAATGATTATAAATTGAAAACCATTTGTGATAGACACAATCTTTTTAATTGAAAATGTTCTATTTGATAAAGCCCATTAAATGAAATGCAGGGTTAGTCCCCAGGGGTCACCCCACCCCCTGCCATTTGAGAAAGTTCTAATACCTTGTAAGTGGTCAAGATCCCCACCCCTAAACCATATATATTTTGGTTTGTTATGCTAAGATGGTTTGAATGATATACAGGGTTAGTCCCCAGGGGTCATCCCAACCCCCTGCCATTTGAGAAAGTTCTAATATCTTGTAAATGGTTGAGATCCCCACCCCTAAACCATATATATTCTGGTTTGTCATGATAAAGCACATCAAATGTAATGCAGGGTTAGTCCCCAGGGGTCACCCCCACCCCCTGCCATTTAAGAAAGTTCTAATATCTAAGTGGTCAAGATCCCCACCCCTAAACCATATATATTCTGGTTTGTCATGCTAAGATGGTTTGAATGATATACAGGGTTAGTCCCCAGGGGTCATCCCGACCCCCTGCCATTTGAGAAAGTTCTAATATCTTGTAAATGGTCAAGATCCCCACCCCTAAACCATATATATTCTGGTTTGTCATGATAAAGCACATCAAATGAAAAACAGGGTTAGTCCCCAGGGGTCACCCCCACCCCCTGCCATTTAAGAAAGTTCTAATATCTTGTAAGTGGTCAAGATCCCCACCCCTAAACCATATATATTCTGGTTTGTTGTGCTAAGATTGTTTGAATGATATACATGGTTAGTCCCCAGGGGTCATCCCAACCCCCTGCCATTTGAGAAAGTTCTAATATCTTGTAAATGGTCGAATTCCCCACCCCTAAACCACATATATTCTGGTTTGCCATGATAAAGCACATCAAATGAAATACAGGGTTAGTCCCCAGGGGTCATCCCGACCCCCTGCCATTTGAGAAAGTTCTAATATCTTGTAAATGGTTGAGATCCCCACCCCTAAACCATATATATATTCCTATTTGTCATGTCTCGAACATTGTAATAACGTATACGGTCAGTCCCCAGGGGTTCCCCCCACCCCCAATGTTTTAATATCTTGTAAATGGTTGAGATCCCCACCCCTAAACCATATATATTCCTGTTCGTCATGTAATGAACATTTGAATGATGTATAGGGCCAGGATCCCCAGGGGTTCCTCCCCACCCCCAATGTTCTAGTATCTTGTAAATGGTCGAGATCCCCACCCCTAAACCATATATATTCTGGTTTGTCATGCCAAGATGATTTGAATGATATACAAGGTTAGTCCCAAGGCATCACTAATGCATATAAATTTACTGGACCAAACCAATTTTCACTGGACGTTGCCCAATGTCAGGCGACCCTGGGAATTACGAATTATGGGAGCTTCGTTTGGGAGACTTCGTAACAGCATCCTGTTACAATCATTTCTTGTTATCTTAGATATTGTTATAATATCTAATATCTAATACTATTAATTATAATTTTAACCATCAGTAAATACAGGTGAGCGACACAGGCTCTTGAGAGCCTCTAGTTATGGTTCATTGGACAATGTTTAGTTTTTGTGGTTTGGTCTTTTTCTCAGATATTATCAGCAATAGGTCAATTATATTTGGTGTATGGAGTGATTTTATGGTGTACATGTCTGTCTTGCAGGGTTCATATGACCTTGACTTCATTTTCATGGTTTGATCTGTTTCTCAGATACTATTAGGGACAGAACTTAGCATACTTCAAATTGGAATTTGGGAACTATTTTGAAAGGTGCGACTTTGTCTATTCCCTTGTGGATAGTTGAGTATGTACAATAAGGTGTTTTATCTATATATATTTAGGTGTAGTAACACAGTCCAAGTTTGATTCAGTCGGTAACAGGAAGATGACCATTGTAGATTTGTGTATACCACAGCAAAAATTGGACGACTATTGTACATTTTGTGAGGTAAGATATTTTTGCTATGAAAGAAGGGAAGGATGGATACTGTAAATTCAGAATTGTTGCAATGTTTTTATTAATGCGAATAATGCTACTGGCTGAGATTCATAATGATAAGAACTCACATTTTGATATAAGATACATGCATCTGTATACAGAGTTTCCTGAAATCACAATAATTAATCTGGCATTCTTGTCCATTCTTCAAATCGCAATAATAAATGCACAAATAAATTTCTGAATTTACAGTATTGAAAAAAGAACGCAAAAATCCAGCTCTGAAAAATTGTGTGTTGAATGCCCTTTGCTACCAAATTTTGACTTAAGATGCATTCTGTAAACACAATACATGTTTCTGGAGTATTCTTCATCAGGTTATGTTGGTAATAGAGGACACCCATACTTCTAACACATTTGAAATTATATAAACTAAAACAACATACAAGTCAGCCAAATCTGATTCCAAGATTTTAAAAAGGTCTTTCCATACCTTAACTTAACTGCAAAACACAGATCAAGTTTGAATTTTGGTGGCATCACTTTTACTGTTCTTGAGTAATGTCCCTTTATAATGTTGTATGCAAGCGTGGGCATCATCTGTGTCCCATGGACACATTCCCCATTTATTTTTTGATCAGTTGTTTGTAATTCTGTTAATATTATATATCAAATTATCTTTGACCCCTAAAAAATCAATTATTTGAAAAGATTCATAAGAAAATTCAGTAAAGTGACAATTTCAACCATGCCTTCTGTTAGTAGGTGTCCTATTTGAATGGGCAGTAGAATAGACATGAAATTTTTGTCTTACAAAGAGTATCTTTTCTAACGAGCTCAAATTAACTTTATGAATACCAGCATTTGGTAACATTTTTCTGTTGGTCACTGTTTTTTTTTAATTAATTGGTGTATTAATAGACATAAGATCTCTGTTAAAAAGTCTTATTTTTTTTAACAAAAATATCCACTGAAAGTCGTGAATGAAAACTGGAAATCTGGAAAAAAATTAATACTTCCTTTGGTATATTGATATTTCTTTCTCATGAATATGGTGTCTATTGAGAGGTTTAGCGCTATAAAACCAGGTTCAATCCACCATTTTCTACATGGGAAAATGCCTGTACCAAGTCAGGAATATGACAGTTGTTATCCATTCGTTTGATGTGTTTGAGCTTTTGATTTTGCCATTTGATTAGGACTTATATCTAGAAATTGACTATGAGGGTCGGTTGAAAACAATACTTTACGACAAAAGAGATTTTACGGACACCATCACGAGTTGGTTGACCGTTATGGAATATCCGTTATACAGATGATATCGGATATGTTCCTTATGTCGTAACTACAATCCTGTTCCCTTTTCACGAATGTGACCTACCGAATTTGACTATTTACCGACTTTGTAATAACATGAGCAACACGACCGGTGCCACATGTGGAGCAGCACCTGAAATCACACCCAGTTTTTGGTAGGGTTCGTGTTGTTGTTGTACCCCTATTTGTGACATTTTGTTCACGAATCGTTGTCAATATAATGGAATTTGATGCGACTGTCGTACAAGTGAGAGGTTTAGCGCTATAAAACCAGGTTCAATCCACCATTTTCTACATTTGAAAATGCCTGTACCAAGTCAGGAATATGACAGTTGTTGTCCATTCGTTTGATATGTTTTATCATTTGATTTTGCCATTTGATTAGGGACTTTCTGTTTTGAATTTTCCTCGGAGTTCAGTATTTTTGTGATTTTACTTTTCATTTGACACTCATTCATATGCAATTTTTTTAATCACAACTTCTAGTTTAATGCAAAATTTGAAACCCTCTTAAACATTGATCGCATTTCTCCTGAATTTTGCGCAAAAGGAATTAAATTCTGAGGAATAAAATAAAAATAGTACGGTAACCAAAACTGAAAAGCTTTTATCCCACCTCTGCTTCATGGACAAATGATTTGGTGAAGAAAAGATTGGATAATGAAACACAATGTTAAATTCTGCATTACAATCTGCTTGTTTGCTCCTAACTTTCCAATTTAAACCAAATGTAATTAACTTTAATATTTTGTTAATTGTTTGGGTCTTTTTTTGTATGTTTTTTTTTTCTCATCTCATCCCAATGAGATAAGTATTGACAATTGAATAGTGTCCTTAATAGTCAAATGGTTTAGTTCTGGAGCTGCCAACACAGAGATAATAGTTCAAACCTGCTACCAATATAGGGATTGTTAGTTCAAAACCTGCTGCTCGAAATTAAAAAAAGTTATTCCCCTATATTGAATTAAATTTCAAATAGCAAACCTGATCAAATAGACCATTAGAAATTTAAAAAACATAAATTTATTAATTTTTGTACCTAACTGCACCCTCTCCTTTCCTTTAAACCACAATTTTCTGCAGGTGTCCTTTGGACATAAAAGACAACATATTGTATTTTCATTTTTATACGCCCGTTTACGGGACGTATTATGGTATACCCTTGTCCGTCTGTCCGTCCGTCGTCAACATGTCGGACATTAACTCAAAAACGCTTTAACCAATTTGCATAAAACTTTGGTGAATTGTTTATATCTATTGACCTGAGCTCCCTTTCGTATTTTATAAATTTTAGTTTTTACGTTTCCGAGTTACAGGGTTTTATTCATAAAAAAAGGGGGATTTTCGAGTTTTCGGACAAAAAATCAAAAATGCTTTCAGCAGTTTGTATGAAACTTTGGTGAATTGTTTATATCTATTGATGTAAGCTCCGTTTAGAATTTTATAAATTTTACATTTTACATTTCTAAGTTATGGGGTTTTATTCATTAAAAAAGGGGGGATTTTTCAGTTTTCTGTCAACAACTCAAAAATGCTGTCAGCAATTCTCTTGAAACTTTGGTGAATTGTTTATATCTATTGATGTAAGCTCCCTTTACATTTTCATAAATTTCTAATAAGACGTTGAGAATTAATTGAACTTTATTTGTTTATAGTCTGACAACAGATTTACTAAGTATTGCGCAACAGGACAGTGTATTGCACAACAGCAAGAAATCTTTAATTAAGTATAAATTCAATTCATATAACCAATTGCAAGTTCTTTGACTACATTTATTCAGAAACCTATAATATGTCATAAAATATTTAATACAATCCAAATTCAGACCTGTATCAAGCTTGAATATTGTGTCCATTTTTGCCCCAACTGTTCAGGGTTGGACCTCTGCGGGCGTATCCAGCTGCGCTCAGCGAAGCAGTTTATTGTATCAATGACTAGAAGGTTTTCCATAAAATGGTGTCAGTCATTACATAGGCTAGATTAAACTTTTTGAAAAGCCAACTTTTTGAGAATATTACAGGCATTTGTTTTTCACCATATATTGTGGTGTACATGATATATCTGCTACCAACACTCCTTGATCTTTGTTTTTGCAGAATTTGTTATTTTTGGTCAAGTCACATGCCATTTGGAAAACAAATACACTCCCCCACCCCAAAACAAAAAGTGGTTAAAGGTTTAAGAAATGGTCAATTAAATCAAACAAAGATAGACTTTTCTATGCAATCTGTTTCAATGTTACACTCATTTAAACGTTTAAACTTGGACATGGTTTTTGTCTCGCCTTGACGGAGACAAAGGTATGCTGTTTCCCATGGCATCAGCGTTGTCGTCAACATTTATTAGTTTGTGATTAGGACAGTTTTGTGGGGAATCACTAGTGGTAGGTCAATGATATATGGTATGCAGTTGTATTAGCATAGGTAAATCTCATTTCCATGGAGATTATTTGGCCCGGCCCCTCAGTCATGGTCTTCTGACTTTGAAACTTTTGCTTAGTTTACATGTATTAGTTTGTGATTAGGTCAGTTTATGGAACCACTTGTGGTAGGTCAATGATATTTGGTGTATAGTTGTATTAGCATTGGTACATCTTATTTCCATGGAGATTATTTGGCCCCACACCCTCAGTCTTAGTCTATTGACTTTGAAACCTTTGCTTAGTTTACATTTATTAGTCTGTGATTAGGTCAGTTTATGGGGAACCACTAGCGGTAGGTCAAAGATATATGGTGTGCAGTTGTATTAGCACTGGCACATCTCATTTCTATGAGATTGTTTGGCCCTGTGCCTTCAGTCATGGTTCATTGACTTTGAAACTTTTACAGAACTTAATGTTAAATTATTGCTATTTTAATTTCAACATTTGCATTTTACTATGGAAATAACAAAAAGGCAATACATATCTCTGTATAAACAGTTTATTAAGATAAAAATGTTTTAAATTCATAAAAGGGATAGGCTTAATATGAAAATAAGGAGATGTGGTAAGCTTGATTGCCAATAAGACAACTTCCCACCAGAGTAAAACTGATGTTGATGTAAGCAACTAAAGGTCACTGTACAGCCTTCAACAATAAGCAAAACCCATACCATGTAGTGAACTATTAAAGGCCCTGAAATAAATGTTTATTTTCATTCAACAAGTTTATTGTCTATATCAGAACTTTGATTGCTTCTGTTAAATTTATAAATAGCTTAGTTATACCCAAGGTAATATAAAGCTTAACACATTGTAAAGACAACTGTTTGATGTTAGTTGAAGACCCAATCTTGAACTCTAGTTGTCTCATTGATGACTGATGTATACCCCTAAACGTCTTAAATTCCTATCTTGCAGTGAATTAAAAGATTAAAAGTTGAACACTTGCATAGAATATATGTCTCAGATGTGCCATAAAATAGGAATACTAGTCATATCAAAACTAAATTCGGTGCTTTTATTGATTTTAATATTCCGTTGTTTATCAAGGGAGATAATTAGAGGTCTCATTATTTCATTATTGTTAAATTTTGCATAAGTCAAAAAATTTTATTATAGTACATTTGTATGAATTACAATTATAATTTATTTTATATGTAATAATTTGCACCGAATGTCTCAGTAGCAATGATTTTTATTGGAGTTAAAATTTCTGACGTTCTATGTGCTTTAAATTAATAAAAGTAAGACTTAAAATAAATAGTAATTACAGTGGATTTTGTCCTGAATTAACAAGAATTTATGTAAACACAAGGCCCCTTGTGTATACTTCTCTGGGTTATATAAGGTAAGTTATATTCAGGTGTTTTTCCATACCAGTAAATGTGTTTCGTGTCTTAAAAAAAATAAAAAGAGTTCACTTTATGATAAATTCTATTATTATTGCTCTCCTTTGAAACTACAATATTATAAATTACACTTGATTAACATTTCAGTACTTTTAAAGGAAAATCAAGACCGTATTACGAGGGTTTGGATTGGGTTTACAGAATAGGGAATAATGGGCAAAAAGAGCAGAATAGAGGGCTAAAGAAATAAAGAATAGAGAAAAATTGGCCAAAAAAATAAAGAATAGAGAATCATAGGGAGTTAAAAGATAAAGAATAGAGAATAATGGGTAATATAGATAAAGAACAGAGAATAATAGAGAATAACGGGCAATATAGATAAAGAATAGAGACTAATGGGCAATATAGATAAAGAATAGAGAATAATGGGCAATATAGATAAAGAATAGAGATTAATGGGCAATATAGATAAAGAATAGAGACTAATGGGCAATAAAGATAAAGAATAGTGAATAATAGAGAATGATGGGCAATATAGATAGAGAATAATGGGCAATATAGATAAATTTCTTCATAAACAGAAAAAATATTACAGTCATTCCTTAAAGAACAGAGAATAATAGAGAATAACGGGCAATATAGATAAAGAATAGAGACTAATGGGCAATATAGATAAAGAATAGAGAATAATGGGCAATATAGATAAAGAATAGAGAATAACGGGCAATAAAGATAAAGAATAGAGACTAATGGGCAATATAGATAAAGAATAGAGAAAAATGGGCAAGAAAGATAAAGAATAGAGAATGATGGGCAATATAGATAGAGAATAATGGGCAATAAAGATAAAGAATAGTGAATAATAGAGAATGATGGGCAATATAGATAGAGAATAATGGGCAATATAGATAAAGAACAGAGAATAATAGAGAATAACGGGCAATATAGATAAAGAATAGAGACTAATGGGCAATATAGATAAAGAATAGAGAATAATGGGCAATATAGATAAAGAATAGAGACTAATGGGCAATATAGATAAAGGATGGAGACTAATGGGCAATAAAGATAAAGAATAGTGAATAATAGAGAATGATGGGCAATATAGATAGAGAATAATGGGCAATATAGATAAATAATTTAATTTTGGATGTAACGCGTCTTCTGATTGGCTGACAGTGTTTTGTCTATCAGCTCATAGACATAAATTTGTCATGTGACTGTAACGTCATCAACGTTTTTTCATGATTTACTCCGACTTAAAATGGAAAAAATAACATAAAAAATGTGGTGCACACTTTAAAATAACCCGCTACGCGGGTTATTCAGTGTGCACCACATTTTTGATGTTATTTCTTCATAAACAGAAAAAATATTACAGTCATTCCTTAAAGAACAGAGAATAATAGAGAATAACGGGCAATATAGATAAAGAATAGAGACTAATGGGCAATATAGATAAAGAATAGAGAATAATGGGCAATATAGATAAAGAATAGAGAATAACGGGCAATATAGATAAAGAATAGAGACTAATGGGCAATATAGATAAAGAATAGAGAAAAATGGGCAAGAAAGATAAAGAATAGAGAATAATAGAGAATGATGGGCAATATAGATAGAGAATAATGGGCAATATAGATAAAGAATATTGAATAATAGAGAATAATGGGCAATATAGCTAAAGAATAGAGAATAATGGGCAATATAGATAAAGAATAGAGAATAATGGGCTGTGATAAAAGTGACAGGAGAACAAAATAATTTTAACATTTCTGTGTTCACCATTGTTAAAACCTTTATATTCTTACCCTCTTTCTTTTATGTTATCAAAAATATGTGTATCGGTTGTTATGTTGAAACCATATTACCAGCACTCTGTTAAACTGGGTCATGTTTTGTGAATATTTAAACCCAGGGTGTTATTGCCCTTTAATGACAATTCTCTCATCAAATTAAGTGTTTCAGTATATTTTGTTTTGATTTTTTTTTGACAAAAATGATAGGTAGATATAAACTGAAAATTATAGTGAACTAGGTACAAATGAAATTCAATGGCATATTTTTGTCATATGAATGATTTAAGCTCAAAGAAGCATCATGTTGTGTTCAGTTATATTGATCTTTCATTAGAGTTCATCCCATATCTCCTATTTTTGTTATGAAAATACTCTTCCCGCATCTTACATTTTGAAAAATGTATTTGTACTGTCCCAATTAAAGGGTCAAATGGGATCCATCTTCCACAAACATATATCTTTAGCAAAAGTAATACACTTAACATGCTTAAAGAAAGAAATTAATCTAGAAAATACAGTAATGAGTACATTAAAAAAATCCATTTTTGACCAACTAAGTAACAGATTCGTTAATACACCCAAAATGAAGTTGGTGACCTTATGATTGATTTATATCAATCAAACAGAAATTTGTGAAAAAATTTGAATGAAGTATCAAATTACAAAAAAAACAGGAACTTAAGTAGTGATAAAAGGTGAGCTTCATTTCTTAAGTAAGTGTTGATTTCTGTTTTTTTTTTAATACCTAGTTAATAATTGATTTCTCTTCAGTCCTGTAAATAGGTTTCACTTATTAATCAAACAAGTATTTGAAAAAATTGTATTGTGTGACATTTAAACATGACTTGCAAAATTCAATACTTTACCATTTCAGAATCGGAAGCATTCTGGGTAAAAACATTTTAAAAAAACTTACAAGAAAGCATTATGATTTGTTAAATATGTTCCAATCAATAAAAATTCAAGCAATCATAACATTATATTATAATTTGGGGTATGTACATTAAAATAACAACAAGAAAATTTCCCATTTTCCATAGCAAATTCCTTTGTCATTTCTATTTTTAGATTGTTAAACCAATGAGAACAAAGCACTGTCGTTTATGTGAGCAATGTTTTGAAGAGATGGATCATCACTGCCTGTTCCTTCTCAAATGTGTGGCTAAAAACAACCATGTCCTGTTCATCTGGTTCCTGATTGTTTGCGTCTTATCAATGATCATTTATGAAATTCATATCTCAATATACATCTCCATGGTAACAATAGACATTACATGGGGTAGAATACTTTATATTCTATTTTATGATGATGCTTGGACATTTAGTCTAGCACTAGCTAATGCAGTTTCAATTTTATGGGGGGTGAATTTGATCCGATTCCAGTTATCAGTAGTATCAAAAGGACAGCTTACTGCCATTCATGTCTATACTAAAAAGCAAAGTGCTCTCACAACTGAGGAAAAGTTTTGGAACATTATAAACTTTTTGAGATTTAGACCACCATATGCAAAAGATCCATATTTAGCAGCTCAAAACTTAATTCAAGTATAATATCTTCATAAAATATCAATTAATTGGGTTTTTTAAAGTTCTGTAAATTGTATTGGTCTTCTTGTTGACCAACATAGCAAGACATCATAACTATTTTTGGCTGTTACATGTATTTGAACATAAATTTTTATTCATGACAGCATTGTCAAAGTATGAATCAAATGAGAGGAGATGTGGGTATACATTTTTGAGACAGCAGCCCAACAAGACAAATAACTAAAAGACATATAGAGGTCAATACAGTCTTCAACAATAAACAGTTGTCTGTACAATAATATCAATAACCAAATTGTTCAGAGTTTAAAACATTGTACATGTATATAAATTAAAAAGAAAATATCCAACATCTGCCATCAACACCAAATTCTACAAATAACATAAAAAAAACATTAGATTTGACATAAGATAAAAAAATGTGAATATGATTGACACCTACTCTGAGATCACTTTGGCCTATTACCAAAATAAAGTCAGAGTCTTGATTCAGTATACTTTGTAAAATCTACTGGTACAGTACATACAAGTTGATTCAGTAAAAAATCTTTCTTAGTGGTGATTATTCAATGCTCATGATTGGTTGGGATTCAAAAACCTCTTTGTATATTCAATAGATATTATATGACAAGGTCATAAATCTAAGTGTTATCACTCTAAATCTCCAACAAGCACCCTGTTTCACTGTGTTTCACTAAATGCCAGGAAGGGTGATTTCTAATAGTGTGTACTAATCTATGAAATAGAATGTGTTGATGATTTTATCCAGACAGTCTGATTTCCTACACAAGTAATCATGACGGCCATGAAAGATAGAAATGTATTTGGAATCCCAACCATATTGGTATTCATGCTCACCATGAGATTTCCTAATTGTTGATAATGAATATATGCTAAATTCTGAGCATTTATATGTACACATTATACTGTCATAAAATTGTTATATATAGTTTCTATCACTGCTTTGAGTGTGATAAGATATTTCTCCTTGCAAGACAATGAAATTTTCGGCAAGTCTTTTATTTTAAACATCTAAAAATTTTTGTTGTTTTTAGGATGAAGTAGATTTTTGAAAAATATAAATCTTGAGGGAATAATTTATTTTTTTTTAAAGACAAAATAACTTATCCAATATTAAAAAATATCAAAGGCAATAATTAATATAAAGATCTTATCAATATTTTGATATTAACAAAAATACCAAAGGCAGTAAAGGGAAATACGGTCTCTCTTAAACACCAAGAAATTATCTAAAAGAAATATTTTACATATAACATGATTAAGGTGATACAAATTGTGATATTTTATTTTATGAATATAATTTTACAGCAAATAACTGTTTGTGCAGATACATGTCCCTTAATGATGTTTTTTTTTTAATCCGCAAGCAATATTGTCTAGTCTGATTAAAGCTTTAAATTTTCTTATCAATTCTTTTATTATAAGGTATTTAAAATGACGAAAAGTTCAAGAAAATGGCCAAATCTGATGTTTCTGCTTATTAATAACTTGAGTATGCTTAATGAAACTATTATACATTAATGAAATTGCTGAAAACAACTTTAAATACATAATACAAGGAACCTCTATACACAGGTCCAGTTTGAATTTCCTTCATTTCACAGATATTCCTCCAAGGAGTTATAAGAATAAATAGATAAAGTTATGTTCTAGTTCAATCTCAACCTTATTTTGCATATGGCTAAGTTTGTCTGACTCTCTCATCTGATTTGGCAGTGTTTTCTTTGTTTCAGGACACATTCTTCTTTATTTAAAATGTCACTCCCTTTTAAAAGTTGAAATGATTTGACAAATTTCTTCAAATTTCATCAGATTCTAAGGAAAGCTGATCAAAGTATGAATAATATAAAATTGCAAAAAGAAGCATTCAATTTTAAAGTAATGGCAAATATAACATTCATGCAAAATGTAAATTTAAAAGATGTGATATACAATGCAAGGGCTATTGCATCGGTATTGTTGAACAATATTCCTGGTAGAATATTAATTTCACTTACCAGTTTCCCAAGCATTGGTGCAATAACTCTATAATCCAACTCTGAATCCATTGTCTTCTGGTTTAATCTGTCCTATGGTTGCTGTCACATAAGTCTTCTGGTTTAATGAATCCTTTGGGTTGCTGTCACATAAATCTTTTATGTGTAATTGGAATTATTTCTTATTGTTTGTATAATAGTTTTTGTGTCATCATATCCTTGACTTTTCCCCCAATTGATAGAATTACACCAATTTTGAAAGATAAAGAAAACGAAGTTGACAAAGAAATCAACAGTGTGATATGGAAAGTAGTAATTGACTTGTTCTATTTTATCGCTATTTTTAAAAATTTTGCTTGATCTTTTTGTGTGATAATTTTCAATGTTAAGCTATTCGATCCACTGTGATTTTTTTTCTCAATCAGAGTGTGAACACAATGACGTCATATGCCGAGGTCATTAACATTGCCTAGGAAAATAGTGATAGACAGATTATCTATGATCTTTCAGCTCAAGGAAATTTCTGCGCTACATCTCATCTCAGGACTATAGCCCTTCAATGAGATTGTAGCAAAGAAACTCCCTCTTGTTTTCAAAACCATAGATACCATATAATAATTGAATAATTTAAAATATACATTGCATATAAATTAGAAAAGTGTGGGGAATTTATGGGAAGTTAATTTATAAATAGAAATTGTATCAATAAATTTGTAGCATTTATCATGTGTAAACATTTTCAATACTTTTATAGTTCTTCATTGACAGTAAACTGTATTTAGTTTGTAGTTTTTCTGTGTATTTATTTTATATTATAAAATCTATTTTTGCAATAAAGGTGTGATAAACTATTAGTTGTATTTCTTGGTGAATATGATTACCTGCCAATTACAACAGATACTTACAGGTTTGAGAACACAATTATCTCCCTTGGATTTTATTGATCTATAGATATACTGGGGATTCATCCTAAGGGTGATAGGGGAATAGACATATGGTCAATGATCAGCAGTAAAACCCTTGCCAAATTGTGGTGTCTATTTGGCTGTGCAGGATTTATAAGTACACAGCCACGTCTGTTCAGAATGGGGACATTAAATCTGATGTCTTATGTAGAGAGAGTGCCACACTCCTTGCATGTTAAAAACCCTTGCAACAACTCTTTGAGGGTCTGTTGGCGGCCTATTGCAAGGCAAAATTTCTGTCCCTATCCAAATTTCCCAGACCATCACAGACGGCCTCTATTACAGGACCTACCTATTGTTTTTATTGTAAAATCTTTTCTTGTTCTGAACATGCATGAAATAATTACCTCTGAACATTAAGCAAACATCAATCAATCAATCATTTTACGTAGTGAAAAAAATATTTTATTGTGAAAATTTTAGCATAAACATTAGAAATAAGACAGTTGAATTAGGATTGGAAAACAAGCATATTATCACTTTTACGAATTCCTTGACATTGGTATGTATGAACCAGGATTCGTTTGCCAAGTATTTAGAAAATTATATTAGAGAGGAAGAAAGTGAAAAATGAAAAATGATCAGCAAAACAAAATCTACAAAAATGATTCATGATCGAAACCATTATAGGAGCTATTTCCCATAAATTACAGTTTTCAAATAACTTTTTGAGTCTTTGCTTATAATCTTGAAAACTGAAAGAATAGACAGGTAGATAAATGATCAGTAGAACAATATCTACAAAAATGCTAATTTGACCAAAACCATTATATGACTCCATACAGAAGTTATTGCCCTTAAAAACAAATTTTGACTAATTTTCTAGTTTTTTGCCTGTTTTCTCAATCTTTATAATAGATCGGTAGAACCCTTAAACACCCAAAAATGATCTGCAACACAAGATCTACAAAGATTATGATATGACATAAATCATTGTAGAAGTTGTTGCCCTTGAATGACAATTTTTCACTAATGAAAACATTTTGCCTATTGTCTTGATAACTATGATAGATAGGTAGAAACTATAAACAGCAAAAATGATCAGCAATACAAGGTCTACAAAAATGCTGATAGAAACCATTGAATGACTTCTTATAGTAATTGTTCTCAAATGACCACTTTTGACAAGTTGTTTTAGTTTTGGCTTTTAATCTCTTAGAACTATAATAGATTTTAAAGGTAGAAGCGGTAAACATCAAAAATGATCTATACAAGCTACACTTTAACAGGTGAGCGATTTGGGCTCTTTGGAGCATCCTGTTTTAAAACTGTACCTTCCAAGTTTATATTGATCTTCATGTTTTAGGTTTTCAACTTGTATTTATTGATATAAAGGAACTAAATTGTGTACTTTGGATATTGTCAATAGAATAAAAAAATGCTTGGGGGGGATATGTTTTGTTAGTGCAAAATTCAGCAATTTCCTCAAAGCTTAGGATTATTGATTGGCTAGTTCATATAAGACTTCTGAATATGAAGACATACTCTAGAATAGTTAATCTTAATCACCCCACAGCCAACAAGTTTTAATGTTTAGTGTTGGGAAAACAGAGCGTCGGACAACATACAAGTAACAATAATCAGGAAGCATCAGTAGTATTATTAGATTGATTTTTCATCCTGACACACACCCCAAAATAAGCCTCGAAAGTTCTGCTGCTATTCAACGTGCCTTCTTTTTCCAGCAGCAGTATGAATTTCCTGGTCTTCATTATGGTCTCCACTACTTTGAGCTGAAAAGGAGAGGCAAAAGATACCCAAGGGGATATTATTCAAACTCTTTATTACTATTGTATTTATATTGTGTCATAGATCAAACTTATTCGTTCAGTGTATGTTTACCTGTTTTTTGTTTATATGTCTTTTTGATCGAATTAAGCCATTTCTATCGATATTTTATAGTGCGTCTTTTTATGTTGTAATGTTACACTACTGTTTCAGGTTAGGGTGAAGGTTGGCGCCTGTTAAAACGTTTAAACCCGCTACTAGTGGTAAGTCAATGATATTTGGTATGCAGTTGTATAAAAGTATTGGCATATCTCATTTCCATGGAGAATATTTGGTCCCGCCCATGCAGTCATGGTCTATTGACTTTGAAACTTTTGCTTAGTTTACATGTATTAGTTTGTGATTAGGTCAGTTCAAGGGGAACCATTAGTGGTAGGCCAATGTAAATTGGTATGCAAATGTATAAGCATTAGCACATCTCATTTCCATAGAGAATATTTGGTCCCGCCCCCTCAGGCATGGTCTATTGACTTTGAAACTTTTGCTTAGTTTACATGTATTAGTTTGTGATAAGATCAGTTTAAGATGAACCGCTTATGTTAAGTCAATGATATTTGGTATGCAAATTTATTGGCATTTGCAAGTCTCGTTTCCATGGAGATTATATAGCCCGACCCCCTCATCATGGTTCATTGACTTTGAAACTTTTACATAGTTTACAAGTCAATGTTTGTGTTTAGTTTTGTTGAAAGGGAACGACTTATGATAAGTCTATGGTATTTGGTATGCAGTTGTATTAGCATTGACACATCTCATTTCCATGGAGATTGTTTTGCCATGTACCTTCAGTCATGGTTCATTGACTTTGAATATTTGCATAACTTATATTTTAAAGTATTGCTATTTTAATTGAGACATATCTCTGTGTTAACAGTTTATTATATAGATTAGACCGTTGGTTTTTCTGTTTGAATTGTTTTACACTAGTCATTTTGGGGCCTTTTATAGCTTGCTGTTCGGTGTGAGCCAAGACTCCGTGTTTTAAGGTCATACTTTGACCTGTAATTGATTACTTTGTCTCATTGGCACTCATACCACATCTTATTTATACCATACTCTTGAGATATCATAAGTCGAAAACAAACTCACAAAAGTTATCTGTTTACTTTCATTGTTGAATTGTTCTCATGAATCTGCATGAAATATTTTCCACTGCACACGAGGCATACCGTGAACAATAAATAAAATAGATCATCCTTGGCAAAGGAAAATACTGGTAAAGTTTAAGTACCAAGTCTCAATGATCCTGACTAGAGTATGTGAATTTTTCAAAATTCTGTAATTAAAATAGTTAGGTGAAATTAACAGTAGAACAATTCGTTTCAGAACAAACAGATCATCATCGATCCTCAATAGTAAGGTTTAATGGTATCAATGTGACCATTCGCGAATGTGGAGTAAACAAGAATGTGATTTCTATCTGTGCTCTTCAACTTTGTACTTATTTGGCTTTATAACTATTTGTATCTGAGCGTCACTGATGAGTCTTATGTAGACGAAACGCGCGTCTGGCGTATTAAATTATAAGCCTGATACCTTTGATAACTATTGATATGGCTTCTGTAAACATTGAGGTTTAGGTGGTATCGGATGTCAACATTTTTCTGTTTGGTTAATGAAATCGGCAACTGCTTCTAGTTTTTATGTGTATGATTTGATTTTTGGCCATCTAGTTGGATTAATAACGTCACTATTGTTGGTGTTTCGTATCCCCTGTTCTGCTGTTATTTTTTCTTAAAACATGATTTCTCTGTATGGTTCAGTCATACTAGAGACTTTCTATGAGAAAGTGTCGTCTTGTTTCACATTCTCCACTTTCACACTATTTGTAGTAGTTCAGATCCACATATCCAGTCTTAAGTTGTGTCAATATTTAAAAATGTGTTTTAGTTGTGTTTAGTAGTTTATGTCTGCTTAACCGATTGTACTTGTTCATATAGTTGTCTTCTATTTTCGCTGATGTGATTCCCGTTTTTCATGTCGTGGAGCGTAATAACATTATTTTCTGGTTGTAATATTTTAGCTTCTTCTACTCTTTTTGCCACGATGTCTGTTGTCTCGTCATTCCCTGGACATACACATGCTCTGGTGGTCAAATTATCAATATACTAAGTTACGGCTTTTTAGTATTAGTTCTTCATAAAAAACTAAATGTCTAATTTTTGGTCTTCATGGCTACCTAAATCATTCCATCAATTTACTTTTAGACACATAATGTATATATATATCTAAAGATTCATACTGGCACTAATTCTTTCCGTTTACAATACCGCAATGGAACAAATTACCCTTTTCAATAGTTCAATCTCCCCCAGTAGACATCTTTAGAGAACGTACAACTCTCTGCTGCTGTTATTTAAACTCTCATTTAAAATATTAAACCTCTTTGACTTGTACATTATTTTAAACCAATTAATTCGTTCATCTGCACTACACAATAATTTGTACAAAATAGTACTGAATTTCCTTATTTTACTTTATTGATTATTTTTTGTAAATTGGCCACGCATTCAACAGTATCAGCAGCCTGCTTGATGGTATATTGTATACTTTAAGAATACATCGATATAGTGCTTTGCTGCCAAGCTCAAAACGAGGAGACCGAAAGAGCACTGACTGCCTGAGAATAATTTCAGTTCTGTGACCTATTATATATATATGTGATCTGCTATAAAAGTTTTATTCTCTCTCACTACGTTCTTCCGAATATAACGTATAATTATATTCTATGGCCTTTACAAAGATCAAAGATCCAATGTACCTGTGCTACTCGCTATAAACTTTTTATACTATATCAAATACAACACATTATAATAATAATAATAAATATTATAAATACAAATGCTCATTTAATGTCCATGAATAAACGTGTCTCTTCTTAGGGCTATATATTGATGGCCAAAAAGATGACCGCACTGGTTTTAAGTGCAAACAAATGATCACATGTCATGAATATTCACGAAAGGACAACGAACTAAATCTTAAAACTCAAAAACCATCATTATAGCTAACATATTTGCTGGTCTTTTGTCTTCAGTGTATAGATTGCACCAGAACCAAATTGGTCCTGGATTTCCCATGCGTGATCCGTCTGTGAA